AGAACCACATGTTTGTTTGTGAAGTCATCTGTTACTGTTTTAAATTCATCTGAATAAACAGTCATAGTAACAGAACTACATGTTTGTTTGTGAAGTCATCTGTTACTGTTTTAAATTCACCTGAATAAACAGTCATAGTAACAAAACCACATGTTTGTTTGTGAAGTCATCTGTTACTGTTTTAAATTGATCTGAATAAACAGTCATAGTAACAAAACCACATGTTTGTTTGTGAAGTCATCTGTTACTGTTTTAAATTCATCTGAATAAACAGTCATAGTAGCAGAACTACATGTTTCTTTGTGAAGTCTGTTAACATCTAGTGCAGCTGTTTAGCTAACTTTTATTACAATTATGCATTTGTTGATAAAAACATCAGATTTGGTGAGACCAGGCACCAACGCCATATCTACACTTTACACTCTACCACCAGGCACCAACGCCATATCTACACTTTACACTCTACCACCAGGCACCAACACCATATCTACACTTTACACTCTACCATCAGGCACCAACACCATATCTACACTTTACACTCTACCATCAGGCACCAACACCATAGCTGTACACTAATCTTCACCATGAAATATCACATAAGAAACATTTTTTTAAAGTAAATATATCAACATAAGCAATACACTATTACATCCACCGTGATGATAAAATGTATATACACAATATTGGACTACTATATTAAAAACAACCTTAAATGATACATGCTGACTGTAATTATTATTATATCATGGAGCTCATTAATTATTTCACATGCAGTGGGAAGCCAATGTGTGTTATGTATACTATGTACATCAATATGGATTGAATTTTGGACACAGGTACCTGTAGAATTACATAATGATAAACAGTTTAAACTGGAGCTTTCATTCACTCACTTATGCAGTTTAAATGGAGTAAAATGTATAAGAATTACATTTTTATATTTTAAAACATGACTCACAGATCAATATATATGGTGACCACTTTGGACTCCTGAATATTTTAAACACAGATGCATTTCAAGTGCTTTCCATTATTCAATAATTAGGTATATATTACTCTAGTTAGGTAGAGTGTAAAGTGTAGATATGGCGTTGGTGCCTGGTGGTAGAGTGTAAAGTGTAGATATGGCGTTGGTGTCTGGTGGTAGAGTGTAAAGTGTAGATATGGCATTGGTGTCTGGTGGTAGAGTGTAAAGTGTAGATATGGAGTTGGTGCCTGGTGGTAGAGTGTAAAGTGTAGATATGGCGTTGGTGCCTGGTGGTAGAGTGTAAAGTGTAGATATGGTGTTGGTGCCTGGTGGTAGAGTGTAGATGTACACTAACAGTGGAGGGTGGTCAGTAAATGCACTTTATAATGTCAGACATTCAAGCTTGTGGAGGCAGCACAGCCATCCATATCACAAAGTAATCCATCCCCAACAAACTGGAAACTATGCATAATTTGTCAGGAAGACACAAACGAGCTCCTCCACTATCCAAGTCAATTAAAAGAACCAGACAAACTGACTGGATACAAGTCACTGGTTAAAAATGTAATCAGGTTCCATGATCTAGGAGAGCAACCAACAACTTTACAGTTGGCAAGGCTAGATGATGTTCATGGTGTTGAGGAAAGTCTTTCAGCCAACGACAATGCCAAATGGCATAAAACATGAATGCTGCAAATTAACAATACCATGCTGAAAAGGGCAGAAAAGAGACAACTGCAAGGCAGTGCTTGTGGAAGTAAAAATGCAGCAGGTATCTCTAAATACACCAGATCAAGGTTATCAAGCATTTCTGAAGTTGGTGTGGATTTGTGGTTTGCCTTAAAGGTGTAGCTGAGGCTACTTCCCAGCCTTCTGATGTCACCAGTACAATCATAGATGGAGCAGTTGCCATCCAAATGTTAAAGTCAGGAACTGCAAAGACATTTGATGAGAATGCTCATCCTGTGCTCATCCCCTGTGTCAAAACACAATTTCAATGAATGAAATACCTTGACCTGGTTTGGGAAAGATATGTCCCTGACAGCCTGAAAAGCACAGCCAGGGCTAAACATGGGAAGGGGGTGCATAGATGTGTCACTGGTTCTGTACCCATACCTGGAACCTGGCAGAATGTTTTGTGTGTGGATGAAAATATGAAGGAACTCTTTGATTTTCTTTCAAAGTATGTCATCAGTTCACTAAAGGAACAGGACAAGGAAGTCATAGCCACCGATGCATAGCAAGTTCTGTGTGTTCCTTGTCAAGAGGATCTTGTCTTACTGGTGCCATGCAATCTTAAAGAGGTAGACACCCACTTCTTGTTCCATGCATCATACAGCCACCAGAAGATACTCATATGCACTGTAGACACAGATATCATGGTTTCTGCCATTATGGTTTCCCAGGCATTGCCTGTCCAACTTGAGCTCTGGTTAGTCTTCAGATCAGGGAAGAGGTACCGATAACTGGCCACACATAAAACAGCTGCTGCTTTTGGCTAAGACAAATCACTTGACCTTTCAATGTTCCATGCAGTGACTGATTGTGACACTGTGCTAACCTTTGTTGGGCATGGCAAGAAAACTGCCTGGGCAGCATGGAATGCCTTGCCAGAGCTTACTGACACTCTGCTTAGTCTAGCCTCAGATCATGTGTCAGAAGAGTGCATGAGGACCATAGAGAGATTTGTTATACTCATGAATGACTGCACATGCACTGGTATCAATGAAGCCAGAAAATAGTTGTTCCCAAAGAAGAGATCACTAGCAGTAGTTCGGCCTACATACATGCACTTGAGCTACATGTCAAGTGAGCTGCCTACCAAGGTGGACACGTATGGCAGCACTCGAGCTACATGTCAAGTGAGCTGCCTACCAAGGTGGACATGTATGGCAGCACTAGAGCTACGTGTCAAGTGAGCTGCCTACCAAGGTGGACACGTGTGGCAGCACTCGAGCTATTTGTCAAGTAAGCTGCCTACCAAGGTGGACACGTATGGCAGCACTCGAGCTACATGTCAAGTGAGCTGCCTACCAAGGTGGACACGCATGGCAGCACTCGAGCTACATGTAGTGAGCTGCCTACCAAAGTGAGCACGTATGAGGCCAGATGCAGGATCCATTACCTGTGCTTTCTTCACCTTTTAACTGGAGATGAATGAAGCATGCTCCTCTGCTGTGGCTGCAAAAAGGGATGCAGCAGTCTTTGCAAGTGCAACAGAGCTGCTCTGCAATGAACTGGCCTATGCTCATGTGAAGTGCTCACAGAACTAATTATGATATCCTTCACATCATAAGAAATAGTATGGTATATGAACGATGGTGTGAATTTTCTATTTTCAGTAGTAAAATACAGCACATCACATAGCATACTGTACCCTGAATCAAGTTATATAGCTGCAACAGGTGTCAAGATAATCACTGAAAGACTCATTTACACTGTTTTCTGATGATTTTCAGAAGTGAAATACAGTACATCACATATCATACTGTACCCTGAATCAAGTTATACAGCTGCAGCAGGTGTCAAGATAATCACTGAAAGACAAATTTAGTCTGTTTTCTGGTAACTCATGATATAATTACTTGGTGATGTATCATTTTACATTTTTGCATTTTTTGCCTCTTTCTGCTTAGCTTTTCTAGACTTATATTGCCCTCTATCAGCACAAATTTTTCACTTGCCACGAACTTTGATACTCCCACTTATTTCTGCATACTGACATACAAATGATTGCACAGCAACCCTCCAGCAATAAGAGTGCTGTCAACCCCTATTGTAACTAGTGCCTTCTCTAATCTTGCAGCCCATAATCACTTCTCAATTGGCAGTCTTATTGTAAAGATGTGTAAATAAAGTAATTTTTTTCAGAAATGTAGGGTAAACTATATTTTTGGTTACTGTCTTTAGAAAATCACAAAATACTATAAATACATTTTTAAGTCACTCTCTTGCACTTTAATCAAAGGATTCAGTCACCTTTTGTTGCTGGTGGCCGGTATTAAGCCGTACAATTATGTCATTTCCCTAACGGTTGCCTAGCCTCACCTATAGTGGAGTTCGTGATTCCTTCCAATCTAAAAATAAGCACTTTGACATGTAGTTGAAATTAGCCAAATTTGATGCTTTTATTGCAAAATGCACAGTTATTTTAGCTATTCATCCCACTAATCATACAAACATTTATTTTACTCATCAGAAGTAAGCTTTTTATTTAAATTTTGAAAATGTCTGTTAATATCATTCAAGCATTTTTGTTTTTACTCACCAGAAGTACAAGATGTTTATTTAACTACAGAAAAATGACTACTTTCCAGATGTTGCAGCTAATTTTGTTCGTAAACAACTTGGAGAAGTGGGAATGAGACTAATGAGCTCATATGGACAATGTTTTGAAGAGTAAGTTATTAGTTCTAATCGTCTCCCATTCTCCATGATGAGAACAGGTTGCAGTTACAGCATTGTAATATTCATACATTTATAGTATTCTAATGTTCAAATGCCATTAATAAAGTTGTGTACTCCCCAGTAAAATGTGTGCTGGTAAATTAAGTAGGATATTTTTCATCAACAAAAGTATATTTTATTTTAAATCATATATAGCACTTACAATAAGAACAACCACTTTTTATTAAAACACAATAAAATTTCGTTTATGTTTATAAGCTGTTAAATAAAATGCTTTTTTCTTTTCATTATGTGACCTAATTTTGAGTGAAATTGTTTGTGTAAAACTCCTGACAGACATTTAAACTGTTTTAGTCTTGGTTCCTATCTAACTGTATGCTGACTCTAGGAGATAAATATGTTGGTTTGCAAAAGGTTTGTAAGAAAAAAGAAGCAACAAGCTTCATTTCGTTAAAGAATATTGTGAAACATAAATTTAGAAAATTCTTTGTTGAGGAATTTCTAAGTTGAGACAGGGTAATTTTCTTGCTTGATGCTTATGAGAGAGATGCATGTAGTCACAGGGTCTAATAAGTTTAGCACATAGTCACTGAGTATAGCAAGAAGCGTAGCATGTCGTCAAAGACTATAGCAAGAAGCTTAGCATGTCGTCACAGAGTATAGCAAGAAGTTTAGCATATTGTCACAGAGTATAGCAAGAAGCTTAGCATGTAGTCACAGAGTATAGCAAGAAGCCTAGCATGTCG